TTATCTGGTGAGCGGCGCCTCCTCCCGCTGGTCCGGCGAGGCGACCGCGGCCTTGCTGAGCACGGCGGCCGAGTAGGGCAGGAAGCCGCTCTCGGAGCGCTGCCCCGCCGCCGTGCACGGAAAGTCGGCGGCCGCGCCGCCCCGCGAGCCCAGCGCCGAGGCCGCCGCCGCCGCCGCCGCCGCCGTCTGGCTGCTGTGGCAGCTGAGGCAGGAGCAGGGCGCAGAGCCCCCCGGCGGCCCCGAGCCCGCCGCCGCCGCTGCCGCCGCCGCCGCCGCCGCCGCTGCCGAGGCGGCCGCGCTGCTGTTGAGGCCGGCGGCGGCCGGCGTCTGGTAGAGGCCGGGGTGTCGGAAACTGCAGAGCAGCTCCGGGCGGGAGTAGGGGTGCGAGAGGGCGCGGAAAGTGTCCAGCGGGCGGATGGAGGTGGCGAAGGGTGCGGCGGCGGCCCCCGAGGCGGCGGCGGCGGCGGCGGCAGCCGTGACCCCGACGTGCGGGTAGTAGTGGAGCGGGACGTGGGAATGGAAAGGGTAGGGCAGACTGCCCGTGGCCGCCGCGTGGGTCATCATGTAGGTGTAGAAGCTGGGGTCGGCCGGGTGGGGCCAGGACATGGCCAGGCGCTGCCGCTTGTCCTTCATCCGCCGGTTCTGGAACCACACCTGCGGGGATACAAGCACAGCGCGGCCTCAGCTCCGCTCCACTCCGCGCCCCGCCGCACCCGTTCCCGCGGACACCGGCGGGCACCCACCAAATCATACTGCTAACGCTTCTAGGCGACCCCTCTCCCTTCCGGAGCAATCTCCCGTGACCTTGCCCGAGGGGAGAGGTCGGTACGGCCCTCCCTCGAGAGGGACCCCTTCGATCCGAATAAATGTTTCCCTTCGAATCGTCCCGTCCTCCCCACTCAGGACTCTGCCTTCGCGGTACTGACGCTCATTCATTCCCCCTGCGTTTATTCTCTCCCCTCTTCCCTTTAGGAAATAGGCTAACGCGATAAAAAACTGACGAGGAAAATAAAAACGACAGTAATAAGAGCAACTTTTTAAAAAGCAAATGCAAAGTGTTAGATGCAGAAAAGCAAACGAGCACGAGTGGTGCTCATAGATGTGGGCCTCGCGAGCCCTTCAAGCGGAGAGCCCAGCCGGCCGCGGCCCGGAGTGCTCGGGGCAGCCGCGGGTCGGTGGGCGCGGAAGGCGGCGTACCTTGATGGTGGTTTCGGGAAGATTGAGGGCGGCGGCCAGCTCGCAGCGCCGAGGCCGCGACACGTAGTTCTCGCGGTAAAACTCCTTCTCCAGGCGGGCGATCTGCTCCCGGGTGAAGGCGGTGCGGTAGCGGCGCACCTGGTCGGCCCCCGCCGCCGAGCCGCCCAGCGCGCCGCCGCCGTGCAGGCTGCCGATACCGGCGGCGGGGGCGGCGGCGGCGGCGGGGGCGCTGGGTGTCGGGCTGCTCTCCGCGTAGCCTGCGGGGTGAGGGCACGGTGGTGAGAGCGGGCGACTCGGCGGACCCTCAGTCCTCCCGGCCAGGCCGGACCGGGCCCGCTACGCACAAGGCCAGCTGTCATTCTTACAAATCCCTGCCGCTAACAGAATCGATACATTTGGATTTGGAGGTTGCTTGTTGGTTATTGTTTGGTTGGTTGGTTGGGTTGGGGTTTTTTAATCCTTCGTAACTGCTTTATTTTCACATGGGGCGGGCTTGCAGACTGCAGGGCAGCCGAGCTCAGGGGAGAGCGGGCGAGGGAACGGGCCGTGGCTCGGGGCCCGGGCTCGGCGCTAGCCTGTTCCCCTTCGGCTGCCGTTCTTTAGTTTCATTTGAGACATACAAAATAAAAGCAGCAATAAACCCCCCCCCCCCCCCTTTTTTTTTTTTTCTCTAGGGTTACGTCGAGCATCCCTTCCTTTCTCCGGCACATTTGACGAAAAAGGCATGCAGTGTGGCGCCCAGGAAATCCACCGTTCATCTCCCTACACCTCCCCAGTAATACCAGTAATAACAACCTCCACCTCCAGCAACAGTAACAACCACCGTACATCACCGTGCCCCGCTAAGAACGGGGAAGGATACGAGGCTGTTTCAAAACGCCTCTTAGAAGCAGAGGAAAAGTGAACAATGCCAAATTAGCCCGAGGTGGACACAGACAGCACGTTGCATAGACAGAGAGGGACACACACAGTCAAATGCGGGCAGTTTCCTCGCATTCCCCCGTCTCTCTCTCTCTCTCTCTCTAATTTAATCTATGTATATACACTCATATACTGCTCAAGAGACGCCGAGAGCTCCAAGAGCGCGGGGAAATACACGGAGAAAGCTTTGCCTAAATATAGGTGGGTGGATATTTGTGCCCACCTATATTCTAGATATATATCTACATATCAATGGATTTGGGCATGCACGCACACACACACGAAGGCACCGGCACAGGCGCTGCCCGGACAGTGTATCTCGGCTATTGGGGTAACGCCGTAATTGTAATAATATTTTACAGCCTGGAGCTCTGTCTTCGCAGAAGAGAGAGCGCTGATGCAGAGGCCAGCAACTTTGGCGGTGGCAGTGGGTTTCCTCTGGTTTTTAAAGCCGGTTGGCAAAGCGCGGGGCTTAGATGAAGATGATAAAGGAAGAGTTACCTTTGTTACTGTTTTCCTTCAGCTGTGAGGAAGTCAGGCTGGCCGGGGAGCGGAGCGCGGAGCAGCCCACCTCCACATCACTGTTCATATCTGCCTCTTGAGCAACTTCGGAATAAAGGCTGATTTTCTTCCTGCTTTCCGACGGCGGGATTTCGGAGGACACGGTGCTTTCACTGCTCGGATGCTGGAGATTGAATAAAGTGTCTATTTCAAATTTGCCTTTGGCGGAGATGTCCCCTATAGCGCTGTGCAGGGAGGCGGCAGTCAGTCTCGGGCTGAGGCGACCACTGTGCGGAGAATTTTCAAGGGCCTCCAACACCGCATTTCCAGCTGAGTCTGACAAATTCGAGAGCCTTTTGCCAGCTGTAGGGCTGTGCAGCCCTCTCTCCATCAGGATCATCTCTTTTCTTATTCTTTCCATCATCTCAGCTTTATAAAAAATGTCAAAGTTGCAGGGCTGGTCCTGTACTAATGATGAGCTGCAGCAGGGGCTAATTCACATTCAGCCCGGCAAGTGTCTCTAAATATTATTATCTGTTTTTGAGGGAGGTGTAAAAATTGTGGGATGCCAAAGCGAGGGAATGACTGGTCAAAATGACCCATACATCCTTTCTAGCCCGAAATGTCATTCATCAAAAAGTGGTGCTCGTCATTAAGGTACGAATGACGCTGTTCGAATAATCATTTATTGTAACAGGTTTATAAGCAAATAAATACAAGCTCCTGTCAGTGGATAATGAAGGCGGCTTCAGAGCAGACAAATATATCCAGGTGGAAAGAAAGAAAGACAAGAAGTGAGGAGTAAAGCTCCTGTCCTTAGCTTGATCAGATCCTGCTTGAATTGCTCTGGGGTTTGGCCTCTGGGGTGGAATTGACAGTCTGATTAATAAAATGAGCTGTGCAACATTTCCCCCTTCATTTAGGTGCATCATTATGCTCTGATTTTTGTTTTGTTGCCTTTTAGGTCCTAATGATGCAGCTTCTTTCTCATTTGTCCTCGGACAGAACTACATGCTAAATATTAGATAATACTTTTCTTTATTATTATTTCCGAGGCGAATTTTAGATCACAAGGCAAGGAAATGCTCGATAGGACCAGAAGATCGAGAACCTCCTGCCGCTGATATCTCTTTACTTTTCCCTCCCATTTCCAGATCACTTTGTACTTTTATTTAGGAATTTACACTGACACCCCCACGCACCCCCTGACACGCGCGAACCTTATGCCCAGACTTTACAAGTCTGCTGCCCAGATTCAAGTGTACCTACAGTAGCTACCCGGAGATGAAAATATTTGTTACAATGTAGTATATTACAACTCTATTATCTTTGTCGTTGCGTCCTTAAATATGATCTCATTTTTACTTTCTATAATCCTGCTTATCGACATAGCTAGCCCGGGATTTTTCTTCCCTCTGGGAAAACACTGACTGTTTTACAGTATGATAGGGGAAGGAAATAAGCGGAGAACATTAAATACATTCGTGATTTAAAACACTCCGTGGGCATCCATTTAATTCTCCAGGCAGGTTCCACTCCAGCCCTTTGCTTCTTTCCTCCCCACCACCAATAAAACCTAAGCATTTGAAAATTAAAAAATAATCATAGAATTAAATGATGGATGGGGGTTATTGCCTACAGGTTCCGACCTATCAGAAACATCACCCTAACACCCTCTCTCCAAAGTTACCTGTGGCTCAGTTAGCTCATCCCTCCGCTCTTTGCCGGGTGCCGCGGGGCGAAGCTCCGCCGCGCTGCTGGAGACACGGGCTGCCGCGCTCGGCAGGCGTGACAGTCGGAAAGTCTCCCTTCAGTGGGAACTTTGCTAGTAATAATGACGCTGATGGCAACCATTTAAACGAAGATAAATCCTTTGTCGTTAGCATCTCTGGAGTGCGCTTCGATAGCTGCCCAACCTTTTTTCTCGCCGTGATTTTTTTTCACCTACATCATCTAGTGTTTAGACCCTGGGAATACCAGTTTCATCTCTCGGAGAAACACCCGAATGTTTCCTGTGATGAAACGAGGGTTTGATTTATCTTTTTTTTTTTCCTTTTTTTTTTTTTTTTTTTTTTTTAATGAGGAGAGCTGTTCCTGCTAATCTTGGTCACACGCATCTCCTAAGTTCTTGTGCTCTTGAGCATGATTCATAGCTCGAAAATGGGATGCTTGTCAGATTTTTTTTCAATAGCCTGTTAAAGTCCCCCTAAACATTCCACCGAATATTTAACAAACATTCTAGGCGTTGTTTGCAAAATCCAGCCTTCTATTAATGAGTTCTATGTCAACCCTTTGAAATGTGAATTTAGACTGCAATGTGGTGTCCTGCGTTTTACAGCCCCCAAACCAGACAAGAGTAAATGCCAACTTTTCCTCGCCCGCGGGCGCGGCGAAGGAGCGGGGCGATGCGGCGGGGAGAGGAGCGGCGCGCAGGCCCCGGGGCCGCAGACACCCCGCGGGGTCCCGGCCGGTCCGGGAGCTGCGGCTCCGGGGCGCTCCCGGAGGGGGGAACCGTGCCCGGGGTGCCCCGCGGAGAGCGGCCGGGCAGTGCCCGCCGGCGGCAGCCCCGCCCCGCCCGGGGACGCGGCCCCGCCGCGCTCCCGCTGCCCCTCGCTTCCCGCCGTGCCCGGCTCCGCAGCAGCGGCGGCGCGGCCGCCGGTCCCGGCGGGGCGGAGGCGGAGCGGAAACCTGCGGCCGGGTTTATTGCTGTCGTTTGGCGCCCTCGTCTGTTTTCTTACATGCTGTAACGCGGCAAGCATCTTTCCCGCTGCTCTCTCGAAAACCGCAGCCGAGATACCACATCTCGGAGGCAATCCTATGTGCACGCCACCAGAACCGGCACGGGTTTAGACTCAAAAAATGTTACTGCACCACTAAAAAGGAGAGAACGGGTTTTATGTTATTTGGAGCGGATGAAAAAGACTACGTGAAAAGCCCCAGTGTGAGAAAATTTAGTTTCACTCAAGTGCGGCTATGAATGATCTTTACTAGGGTTATATTTTGCACCTTTTAAATAATACTGATACCTTAGGTTATGTACAGAGTACCTTAAAATACAGCTAGATTCATATGCAAGGGTTATAAAATGTTATACAATACGTTAATAATCTTCCACTAGGTAGAGGTGAGGTTACAAAACTGTTCCCTGCAATGCAGTTAATGAGTTCACCCCAGACATTCAACCCCCTAATAAACTAGTTGTCTGTTGTTGAAAATCCCAGAAAAGTAGAGGTATTTACTGCACTGATATTTATCTCTTTGCTGGTTGTTTGTGTGCGTCAGGGGAGTTTATGTTTTGGGATTTTTGTTCTGTTTAGCTTGCTTTTTTTTTTTTTTTTTTTTTTTTTTATTGTTGCTTTTTTTTTGTGGTGTTCCTTTGGGGACTTTGTTTGACTGGGGGTTTTTTTTCCCAAAAAGAATAGCACAGCCTACAAAATCTTTCCGAATGTTTGTAGTTGCTCAGAACCAATAGCTAAGCCTGAAAAAACACAGATATTGAAGCGACATTAGTGGGGAAAGAGGTAGGAAGTTACAGAGACCGACGAGAAACTGCCGAAATATGTGAGCTTTTGTTAGACTCTGTTTACTCAGTTGTTCTTGTAAGTTTAAATAGCTACTTAGGCCTTTGGCCAGATTTTTACCTTTAAAGTTATTGCTGGAGGCATAAAAGAATATTTCAGTACTCATTTATTGAATCTTACCCGGGGAAAAAGAGGTCGCATAGTTTAATTGAAACAAAGTTCATATTAAATGAGACAAACACCTCGGGCAGTTTTTCACCAGTCAGAGCGTTCCTGGGAAGACGAGCGGGAATATCTGCTTCCTATCCCGCAGCGGGGCAGGCAGCCAGCAAGGTCCCAGGGCAGCGCGCAGGAGACATTCGCGGCAGCGCAGAGTCTCCGGGCCGCGGCCCGTGGGGTGGGAGAAGGCGGCGGTGCGGCGGCCGGGGGGTGCGGTGGCCGTGGGAAGCGCGGGGACGCGGGAGCCGCTCCCGGCGGGGCCGCTCCGAGGGACCCGCGGCGCGGGGGGCGCTCCGCCCGCGGCGGCACCGGCGGCAGGCGCGGCGGCGCCACCTGGCGGCGCTTTGGCGGCACTGCCCGCCCTGCCCTGCCAGCCATGACCTGCCCTGCCTGTCCTGCTCTGCCAGCCCTGTCCGCCCTGCTCTGCCTGCCCTGCCCTGCCAGCTCTGTCCGCCCTGCTCTGCCAGCCCAGCCCAGCCCAGCCCTGCCAGCCAGCCCTTCATCTCCTGCCTGTCTTATCCGCCGGCCCTGCCCGCCGGCCCTACCTGATCTCACCGCCGGCCCTGCCCTCCCTGTTGGCCGGTGCTGCCACCCTGCCGTCCAGCCCTGCTGGCTGGCCCTGCCTGCCCCCTCCCACCAGCTGGAGGCCGCCTGGCAGGGCAGCTCCGCGCCCGCGCAGTGGCTGTCCTGCGTGGCTGTCCTGCGTGTCTGAGCGCGCAATACGCTCCTGCTCAGCCCCGACTCTCCCCTCCGCCTCAGGCCGCCATATCAGCACAGGGCCAGTTTTGGGGCGTGTTCAGTCTATATTGTCTGTGTAACATCACTCGCGAGTGAAAGGACACGAGCACGGCGTGTCCCCGAGTCCCACGGGCCCTGCACACCGTCCCGCCCCGCGCTGCTCAGGCAGAGCCCCCACGGGACGCTGGGCGAGTTTCACAGTCACGCCGTGTCCTCTGAGGCTGCCTGTGCCACAGACGGGGCTTCGCTCAAACATAGAGCCCACCTCCGGTCGCAAAGGGACTCGGCCCACGGTTCAGTTTAGGTTGCAGCTGCCGAGCCGGTCCAAGGTCAGGGTCCCGAGGTCCCCGCGCTGCCCCAGAGCGGCGGGGGCAGTCAGAGAGCGGCCAGCGCCAGCCCGTGACCCGAGAGCTCAAGTTCAACGCCCGCAGTGCTCAGCCGCCCGTGGCCGCCGCACCGAGACCACGCGGGGAGCCCCGAGCAAACTTTCTCCGTCTCGAAACGTATTATTTAAAGTTGAAGTAACTAAAGAAGTGAGAAGCTGTGGCATAGATCTGGAGGGGGAAATAGTTTAACAATTCTCCACGTGTTGCTGTTCAATCTATTCGTTATCATAACTGGCTATTCTTTTAAAAGCATGGGGGAAAATGAAAGTTCTTCTGTTCTGTTTAGCTATTAAAAGTTCATACAAATTAAAAGGTAACCACGGGACGTAGTGGAAACGGGATAAGGTTTGGAAGACATATAAATCGAGTGGTTTTGTTTGCGTTCTCTGTTTGTCCCGGACAATAATTTTTTTCTTACACCGAACACTAACATAAGAAGCAACTTCCTATCGACACAATTACCATGGGCAAATTCTGACGAGGGAGGAGATAAAAATCGGGGGAGTTTCTGTAAGAGATGGATACTAGGCAGATACAAAAAGCCCGTGCTAAAAGTTAGAGTGGAATCCTAACTGTATTAAATAGTGGTAAATGCACTTGACTAAATGAATTTATTTCAGGATTGTAAAAATTAAAAAAAAAGAAAATCCACAACCTTTTCTTCTGGGGAGGCACAAGCACGCCTGCAGCATTGCTTTCTAGCTCATGTGTTCTGCAGATTCCCATGCAATGTGTCAATGGAAAATGCGACGCGGCTCCTCAGGGCGCTGGCCACCCGCGGCAGCGCTGCCCAGAGAGGACAGGACCCGGCCAGCGCGGCAGGTCCTGCTGCCCTGCCCGACAGGCGCTGAGCCTCGATGGGC